AACGTCTAGGTCACTGTGTGCTTGTTAGTGTGAGGTGTTTTTTAATATTAGAGTTTTTCTTCTCAGCCAAGAAGAAAAAGTCTGATAGGAATTTTTCCGCCTCCAATTCCTACACGTGTCCAGTTTCACTACTTTTTGTCTGTCTAAACAGATCTCACTTGTAAATGAGTCTTCTAGGCTCAATGTGACTTATCTGTCTAAATAAAGGTTGAATGAATGAAGAGAACAATCCACCCTTTTCCAAACCAGGACCATGACCTCAGCTAGAACTTTAACCGTTTTATTTTTTTTAAGGGCACAATAAAAGCCTAAAATGCCTTAAATGCAAAAGACTTGAACTTGTACTTTGTGTGTTGTCATATTCGCAAAGTGAATCCTAAATGCATCTCCTGTTTGTCGGTGCTTCATGCGGGGAGCTCCCAATGGTCACTTGTCAAACAAAGACCACCTCCCTCTCCCCCTCGAGGGCCTTTAAAGCCTTAATTTCCCCACAGACCAAAATTATTATAGAGATAACAAAGGACAGGGCACGTCCAAATGCAAAGAAGGTCGTCTTTTCTTCTTCCTTCTCCTAACTTTGGTCCTTTTTCTATCGGAGGGGGTTTGTATTAATAAAGCCTGAGAGTTTTCTGCGGATGGCGTCATCCCAGGGTGAAGTCTGTGGGCTGGGGGAGCAGCAGGCCTTCATGAGTTGGCAGCAAGCACACAACTGAAATACTCTTTTTGGCTCAAGCCAGCAGTTTCCATCCAATGATTCCATCTTTGCGTCTGAGACGCCGTACAGCCTGAAATCCGGTGCAGAATCGACCCATACTGCCACACTTTCAACAGATCAGGGAACATTTTGAACATGTGAAATGTGAATAGTTTGGGAACACTTTACAGGAAATAAACCATCCATTAACCAGTTGCTTACTAGCATGCAAATTAGTCACATGTTACCTTTGAATTAAACATTAATATGCATTTTCTTGTGTTTGGAATGACTTAATTCTACAACAAACAGACCATTATTATTGACATTTTAAAAGAAACAACAGATTTCTGTCTTTTATTAAATTAAACATAAAGTCTTGTTGCACATTCTGATCTCAATAAGTTCTGTTCAATCAAGAGGAGGACAGCAGTCTTACCACATAAAGTGTTTTTCTGTAAAACTAAACTTAATTACAATTGTTGTAGCGTTGTAGTCAGTCAGAGTGATGCCTAATCGTGTGACTGTTTGTGAAGCATTCACACTAGTGTGATCCATTTTTCTTCTGTGGGTTTCCCAGCTTGATTCTCATCCCGCAGCTTTTAAGCTATTTCAACAAATCATATATCAAAAGGTTCAGCTCTTTCAGGAGAAGGGTGCCATGACTTTTGGTATTGGTGAAACTTTAGCTTTTTGCAATATTCAGCCTTTTCTGCCACTTTTTTCCTCATAGGAAATGAAATTTTCATTCATTCATTCAACCTTTATTTAAACAGGTTAGTCCCTTTGAGTCACGAGGACTCATTTACAAGAGAGACCTGGATTTTAACAGAGACATGACAACAGTAGACATTCACAAATCATGCATACACATTTGTTTTTTACGATTGAAAACGAAATGATAATTAAAAGGATAATTAAAAAAAAATTTACCGAGACCCCCCCCCCCCCCCCCCAGCTAGATTATGAGGTGATGTAGAATACTAAAAACAGAAACATGTCTGCATTAAAAAAATAGAAAATGAACTGCGCTCATTTTGCATCCTTCACATCTTTAGATCTGTTTACAGACTTTTACTGCTTCTTTCACATGGTTCAGCTTCTTTGTGCAAATTTTAACTTTTTTTTCAGCTACTTTCAGCTGTTTTTTCAGTTGTTCCGTGCTCCTTTCAGATTCTATTAATAACTACAAACTTTTTGTGCTTCTTCTAACTTCTTTCTGCCAATTTCAGCTTATTTACGCAAGTTTCAGCTCTTACTGCTATTTCAGCTACTGTTGAGCTTTTTATGCAATTTTTTTAAATTTTCAGCTAATTCCACAATTTTTGCACTCGTTTCAACTTTTTCCAGCGTAATTCAGCAAAAATGTGCTCTCTCCACTTCCTTCTTCTAAATTAACCTTCTTTTTTCTTTTTAGCTACTTTTCAGCTGTCTTTGCTTATTTCAGATTTTTCCAGATAATTTCCATTTTTTTTTTTGCTCTGTTCTGCTTCTTACAGCCTAATTAACTTCTTTATGCTGATTTCAGCCTATTATGTTCCTTTCAGCTATTTACTGCTAGTTTCAGCTTCTTCTGTTCTTTCAGCTACCATTTAGCTCTTTTGATGCTGTTTTTAGCTTTGTCAGGTAATTCCACAATTTCTTTTTGCTCATTAAACTCGTTTGACTTCCTTCTGGTAGTTTAAGCTTCTTGCTACATTTTCAGCTACTTTTCAGCTATTTGTTTGCTCATTTCAGCTATTTTAAAACTACTTTCCAAATTTTTGTTCTCACTGCTATTCATTTAAATCTAATTCAGCAACTATGTCCTTTCTGCTTTATTCTGCTAAATTGGGCCTGTTCTTCCATTTCAGCTACATTTCAGCTGTTTTTCAGCAAGTTCTAAGCATTCACACTGCATTTTCACAGAAAATACAGTTTCCCTACTTATGTTTTATATAGTAGTCATTAGCACCAAGTTAGTGTATTTCCTAAACTAAAGTGTGTTTGAACCCGAAGAGGAGCGTTCAGACTGACCCTGGTTCAGTTCTGATCCTGGTTCAGTTCTGATGAATGGGACGGCTCTCTGTTTTGTTGTGCTGAACGTTTCTGATGTATAACTCTCATTTAGCCTCCTCTGCTGCTGCCTTTCTTCACACAGATATCATCGGGAGTTTGTTGAAATTCAAGCAGAGTCCCTTGACTTTACCTTGATGTGCAATTTGTGGGCAGTCCGGCTGACAGACAAGGACACAACAGCCCGGATCACTAATGAACACCCGAGCTGCACTTAAACCCCACTCCTACAGAAATAAAATAAAATAAAACCGATGCTTTCTATACTCGACGCTCTAACTCTTCTATCCAAGCTGAGTCCTTGAAGTGCAGCTTCAGAGTAAAGCCCTGCACCTCCCCCCGTCTGTCACTCCTTATGCCCCTGGGCTCTGCCTTATTTCTCCCCTCGGAGTGGTGCAACTCCCTGCCAGCTCCCCACAATCCATCAGAGTGCTCTCCCTCCTCCAGGCACCGCCGATGACCCCTGGCCCCTCCTATCCCCCACGCCACATCGACCAGAGCTGCAGAGTTTCGTGTCTGGTCTGCACATGAAGCGTTAAGAATAGAAGCAGCAACAATAGAGGAGACGGTTCAGGACGACGAGCCAGCTTTCTGCTGGATTCTGCATCTTTTCCTTATCATTGCTCATCGCAGAAAGGTCAGCTGCAGGAAACGAACGTTTGTGTCCATGTACCTCACGAGTCACTGGACGTTTTTAAAGAATTCTGCTGAAGCAAATCGTCGTTTGTAAATCTACAAGTTCTTTCTGCGAGAGAAAAGCTTTTGGGAGTCAGTTTGATTCAAGATGGCCACCAGAACTAAAAAATGGTGATGGATCTGGTAGTTTTACAGGTACGGAGCTAAATTTAGATTGCAGCAACACATGCACAATAGTTTCAAGATTTGACCCAGAAGGCTACACCTGACCTTCAAACGATGTTCGTTTGAAGCTCTACATGGAAGACAGCGAGGGGCGAGCATCATTTAAGGGCTGCTCAGCTTTGAATCTTTGATATTATTGGACACAAACTTACACTGATGTCGCTGAATGGATTGTAATTGCCCCCCCCCCCCCCCCCCCCCAATGATTAGTGGGTTTATTAATCAAACTATTTAAAGAGCTGCTGGTGCAGAATATACATGTAATTATGAGAGTAGCTTCTTTGCACCTTCTGGTGAGGAGATCTATAAATCCCTCCTTGGTTTGCTACCTTCTTATATCTCCTCCCACATGTCCCATCGTCAGTGCAGTTACAGCGTGCGCTCTCAGGACATCATTACCTGCAGCGTTCCCTCAGTGCAGACTGAACTTGGCATAAAGGCCTTTTCCTACTCAGCTCCTGCACCTGGAACACCTTGCAACAGGAAGTGCAGTTGTCCACCTTAATTTATTTAAGGGATTTTAAACATTTGATCAGGTCAGTAGAAAAATCAAAGCAAATATGTTCTTGTTTTTAACATTTCATCTTGTTTCACGGCACCCTGATTTATTCTTTTATACACTACTCTTATTTTAACTGCATTTTAACTTATCGTTATTGCTGTCTGTACTTTATGTTCTGTCTGGAACAGGTCTCTATTGTAAATGAGTCCTCGTGGCTCAGTGACACTAGTTGGTATAAATAAAGTTGATTAAATTAATTAGAATTGGTTTGTAAATTGTTTTGAATCCAATCATTGGTTTTAGTGAATGCTCTTTATCGTAAAAAGTGCATTTTCAGAGACTCTTTGTCCAGATGTTAGTGCCGAGGTGAAATTATTTGTGTTTTTAACAGTCATAGAAAAAAGGCTCAGATTTTTATATTTGATTTAAATATATTTATTTATGAATTAACAGGTTTTTATTAAATACAAACACATGGATACTTGGGAGCAGCACCTGCTGGTGCACCTGAAGCACCTCGTGTGAAATGCTCACCTGTGCACGTGACACGTGGTTTAAATGAAAGCGTTCTGTTCCCGCGAGCTCTTCCGTGGAATCTGCGCAATGACGCGCAATGTTCTGGCGCGCGCGAGAAATTACGCACAGCTGGAAATGTTACAACTTTATATTTTAACTCGTAGGTCACGTGCTCGTCTAAGACGCTCGCGTGGAAAGTCCACAAATAAAATAAAAATAAATCAGTAAGTATAAAAGATGATGTAAAAGCACAATGAGCGTTGCGCATGTGCTTCACAGATCAGCACCACGGACAGCGATTCTCTCTTTCTCTCTACCCCCCACCCCTTCACGCACTCTCTCACACACGCGCGCGCGCACACACACAGTCTCTTCCGGGCGCTCACTCCGCAGCTGGCTCGGAGTCAGCTCCTCCCTCATGTGGTGGCTTCTCCGACCAAAGGAGCTTTGGACGTGAACAGTTTCGCTGAGGAGCACTTTTCTCTCCCCCCCACCCTCATCAGTCCTCCCCCATTAAAAAAAAAAAAAAAAAAAAGCCCATCGAGTCAGGCACTTTGGCCACATCGACCTGAGGAGGGGGGAGTTTAGGTGTTGGATGATCGGGTCTCCAGTTCTTCATCCACCCAGATCCCTGGCAGCGATGGAGACTCGGGCTGCTTTGTGCCCGGGCTCGCGCCTCCTATCTCTGGGTATCTGGCTGATGGTGGCCGCGCGCGCCCTGCCACACGCCGGCGCGGTGATAAGCTGCGCGTCCTGCCCGTCGCCGGTCCAACTTCACAGACAGGAGCTGCAGCTGAACCGGGGGGCGGCCGGCCTCAGGAGCGTGCGTGCGGAGTTCAGGGAACTCGGGTTCTCCAGCCTGGACGCTGGTCTGGACCGGGACCACGAGCCGGGGGATTCTACTGAGGACGTCCCGCAGTTCCACCGGGATGAAGCTCCAGGACGCGACGGCGCTGCGCTCCGGAGAGCCAAGAGGAGCGGCGCGGAGTTTGGCGACAGCGGGTGGAGCGGGGGGGCCGGCGGGGGTGAGGGCTCGCAGGTGGACGGGCAGAGATCAGTCAGGTGGAACCGGGAGGACGGGGGCGGGATTAACCGGCAGGACGAGCCCAAACTCAGCAGCAGCACCTTCGCCCTGACGGGGGACTCTGCGCACAACCACGCAGTGGTGACCTGGTCCGGACAGAACAGCAGCGTAAGTGACACCCCCCCCCCCCCCCCCCCCCAGTTTGTGCTTTACATGAAGCCTCTGTGAGGAGCAGGAAGTCCTCTGATCTGTTAACAGGTGCCAAACCTTCATCTCTGCTGCTGCGTCCTGGTTAAAATGTTTCATCCCTCCCCAGGACCGGCTTCTTAATCCAAATTAAGTGACTGGGGGTGGGGGGGGGGGGGGGGGGGGCTGTAAATTATAAAATATAATTAAGTATTTGTTCACTGCATTTAATTCTAATGTTAAGACAATTAAAATTGTCTGAGGTTTAAAACATCCGTTGAGATTCAACTATTTTCTTGCAACTACCACACAGTTTGCAAAGGGCTTGTGTGAGCCCCCCCACCCCCCCCCCCCCGCCCCCATCTGCAGTATTAGTAAATGTGCTCCTGTTTACATCAGCGTGATTCTCATTCAGTGGGTGCAGCTGTGGATTTGATTTTCTTGTTCAGTTTGAAACTTGTGTTGGTGCATCGAAGCGTCCTGCAGGTGGAGAGGAGCAGCTTGTTGCCTCTGCTGCTGGAAGGAGCTCTTCAGAGCTCCACTCATGTCTGAGCTGAGCGTCCACACCGTGTCTGCACAGATCCGTGCACACCCTGCAGCTCTGACACGAGCTGCTGGAGAAGACACGAGTCGTGTGTGTTGATGGAAAACGAGCCCGTTGGATCTTTGTTGCTTTAATTTGTTGTTGCGGCTGCTCTTTTTGTTTTAATCCATCAGCACATACATTTAAAAAAAAAAAAAAGGGAGGAATGGAACCCATTCAGCCTTGTCAGAGCTGATCATGACACGGTGCTTGAACTTGTTTTTTAACCTGCAGTGAAGACCAAGGCTGTGAGCGGGGAGGCGTGTGTGTCAAAATGTTGGTGTGGAGTGCATGACGGTGCTGGATGCAGAGGGTGGGGAGGTTATTGTGTGCCGCCGCCCCCAGGTGGAAGTCTCTCATATTTATCTGAAACACTGAGGCCAGTGTTTCAAAATGCTTTCTTGTTTCGTGCTAAAAAAAAAAAAAAGCAGAGGTCTACTTCTTGATCTTCATCAGTGGCTGAAGCGCTGAGGCCGAGCTTGAAGTCCTTCATGTTATCTCCAGCTGCAGGGTGAGCAACTGGTAGACTGGTTGTGTTCCACAGCTTTAACCTTTACCGTCTCTGCACTCCATCACTTCAGTGACTCATCACAAACGCCACAAGTTGTTTGATCAGAAAACAAAACCATAAAAACCTCAGGTACCGTTGTGAAGACAAATAATAAAACGAGCTGTGAAGACGTTCGGTTAGTGATCAACTGGGACATAAGAGATTTATTCAAGCCTTCAATTTAGCCCAGTTTGATCAGTGGGTTTACTCGTCTATGAAGTGTCATAAAAACACATCTGTCAATCAGAAGACATCCCACAGGTTTTCACTCGGACTCTTGAAAGGACAGACTAATTAATGAGGGCAGCTTGAGCAGGTCTAATGCTGGCCCTCTGGAGAACACCAGTCTGCTTCGGACTGAGGCGGCGGCTCCATTACACAACCTTCTCCTCCACCCAGCACGGTGACATGTGACGACCTGCTGACCAACCTCTGAAGGTTGTAGGTAAGAAGACGTCATAAAACTCCAGCAGCTCCAGAGGTGTGTTGCAACACAACGCCGAGATAGAAAGACATCAGCAATGACCTTAGAGAAGTTGCTGCCCATCAATCTGGCAAGGGTCAAAGATCACTGCAGAACCGTTTGGACTCATCGTTCTACAGAGAGGAAGATTATTCACGAGTGGAAAACATTTAGGACTGCTGACAATCTGCCCAGGAGTCGCAACAGAGGGTGAAGGTCAGACCGTGCAGTGATTCTGCAGGCTTCAGTCAAAAGGCCAAAGGTCAAAGGTCATTTAGAGTTCATCAATATACAGAGAAAGATTATTTCCAAATGGAAAACATTTCAGACAGCTGATTCACCCTGAAGGTCAGACCGTGCAGTGACTCTGCAGGCCTCAGTCAACAAGCTAAAGGTCATTTAGAGTCCATCATTATACAGAAAGAAAAATTATTTCCAAATGGAAAACATTTCAGACAGCTGATTCACCCTGAAGGTCAGACTGTGCAGTGAGCTCCATATCAGACTCTACAGGACTACGTCAGCAGGTTAAAGGTCAAAGGTCATGACTTCTTCTCTCTAAAAACAACACGGCAGCTCGACTTAGGTTTGGAAAGCTTCATCTGAAGAAACCACAAGACTTCTGGGAAATAACCAGAACATAGGATAGATGATTACCCAGAATGCACTGCAGCAAACGGCTCCTCCCAACTGTCAGCATGGTGGTGGAGGGCTGATGGTTTGGACTCCTTCAGTCACTGAGTGTACCAGAACTCCTCTGTAGACCTTAGGGTTCTGGAGTCCAACAGCTGAAGCTTTGACCAAACTGGGTCCAACAGAACCATGATCCAGAACACAGAAGCTGAGCTTCCAACAGAAAGAGACCGGGCTAATGGGTCTGCCGAGTTTTTTATTTGACATTTATTTTTATTTTTATGAAACAATACCTGGTTGCTCTTGACCAAGACATGTATATCTTAACGACTTGTTTTTGTATCTTGTCATATCAGACTTGAACATTTCAGATACTTGACGGTACTTTAACTCAAATCAAATTATTTTTTTCTAACCAGAACCAACATGGATTTTAAACTGTGAACAGGAACGCCAGAATCTACTGGGAAGAAACGGAAACAGTGAACACAATGTCATCATCGGGCTGAAACCACCTGGAGGAAGGCTCTTTGAAAGCTTCAAAACCTAATTAGTTAGTCAGGAACATTAACTGAAATATCTTGATGCATGCTCAATAATCTCGGTAGATTAACTGAAACACATCCAGAAATACAAAGTTACAGGCTTGAAAACTGACATTATTAATGACGTCTTGTGCTAGAGTTTAGATGATCTGCAACAGTATTTAGATGATTAGTATTTTGGCTGTCAACATAAATAAGCTCCTAATTCCAGATTACTTTAAAAAGAACCAGCACTGTCATAAAATAATGAAGTTTTAATCATCCATTCTTCTCCTTCTGCGTTTACCCTGAGCGTTTTATTTTCTTTGTAACTGTTCCTGCCTGCAGTACATTTATTAACAAAGAAGAATGTCACTGTTTAAAGTCCAAATTTAGGGCGCGCGCAGACACTTTAAACTTCAATCTAGAAGATCTTTGGAGCATGACCACCCTTTAACGAGCGCAGACCCCGTGTTCTACTGAAACACAAGTCCAGGTGATTTTAGAAGGTTGCAGAGTCAGGGTCTGTTTTACTTTTGGACTAGTTTGTCAAAAATAGATGGAGCTTTCTTTTTGTGCATTTATAACGGTTGTGTTGAAACTGTTTGGCACATTGCGAACACAACCGCAGAGTTCAGTTTTTTTTCGGTCTGGTAGTTGAAGGAACTGAATGCGAGGATCTTCTCGGGTAAAGTCTTCAATCACGCTGAAGGTGAACAAAGAAACTTTGATATGAATCACTGAAACAATCATAAATATGTTTAAAAATTCTGACAAAGTGCTCTAAACTGACACAAACTCATGTGGGCATGTTCCCGAGGGCGCACGCTGTGTTCCACTGACCTTTAGTCAACATGCCAATCCTCGGCACCACGCTGCACCGTTTGAACGCCTCGGGACCAAACGCCAAAAATATAAACGTCTTTTTTTTGTGTGTGTGTGTGAGCTGGCTGACTTGCAGGCTGCTTGGTTGACTGGACACAACATGGAACATAAATTCCTCACCTCTCTGGTCGGGAGACTTCCTCTCAGTCTTATTTCATTCCGATCGCTCGGCCGTGACTTGTACTCTGACGACCTGTGGGAATGTGCGGGCCGCCGTGGTTTTTCCTCAGGGTGGTGGCGGCGTGTCCTCTGAGGCGTGAATGCCAGCCTAATGCACTCTCACTATCTCTCAGTTCCTGTCCAAGTCACTGTCTTTACCCCCGCCGGGCTGCTTCTGTCTGTCGGTCTGCTTGTCTTTGGGCTCACGCGTCTCTGCCTCGGGCTCGCGCACATTACGTTGAAGCCATAACCTCAGATATTAACCGTCTCTGCAATGGCAGCCATGTTGAGACTAACTGTCATTTATAATATTCATGAGCATAATTCAGACGGTGCATCCCTGCAGCGACGCGACAAGCTCTTTCCTGAAGCGTTTTTGAGGAAGTGTAACCCCTCAGCCTCTGCAGTTGTGAACATAATGGCCTTATGAGTGGCAGCATCGAGCATGATTAATATATATAGTACGCAGAGTAGTTTGGACTGATGGAGAGAGACTTGCACATTCAAGTAGAAGGTAAGTGATTTTGTTTACAGTTACAGCTTCGCAAGCACAAGAAGACCAGAGGAACCACGGAGGCAGGACTAGGAGGAACAAGGAAATACACAGATTACTTTCTCTTATCTTCGATAAAGGCTGTAGGGCTGCAACTAGTTTTAACGGTTGGAATTGTACAGTAATGTTTCTATAGAGAGGCACTCATCCAAAGGTCCTGAAGTACACCAGTAGCTCATCAGCCAGGATCAGGATCACTTTTGGTGGAATGACTCTGCCGCTCAGAGGCTAAGAATACGATTGAGGTAAACAAAATGTTTAAGACATCACAAAGAACATAATCAACTAGAAAGTTCCTGGATAAACTTTGACAGGGACTGACTATTTATTATTAAATTGTTATTAATAATAAATATTAATATTACTTATTATTAATAATAATAATAATAATAGATAGAAATAGATAGAAGGAGATAGAAATGTAGACACTCTTCCGAGGTGTAGAATAATTGGTGCCTGCCATGCATTTGCATGGCAGCCCCCAACTAGAGCCTGGAGGACAGCAGGGGCATTAGTCAGGCAAAAAGGCATAACCAGGTATTCAAAATATCCCAAAGGTGTTTCAAAGGCTGTCTTCTACTCATCACCCTAGATAGTATGCGTTTCGAAGGTCCCGTTTGGTGAAGACAGTG